CCGAGAGTGCACAGCAATGGGGAGCCAGCCATCTCTGCTCCCCAGATGAGTCGCCTGTGGCCCTGTCCCACTCCCTGCTAGGACCCTGCAGTTGCACATTCCAGCCCCAGCCCCCAGGCCCCACGCACTGCCCACACTGGGCAGCAGCCCCAGCCCAGCCCAATTCCCTCTATGTGGGCTGCAATTCCTGTCCCCTCTCCCACTCCCTCACTGCCAGACTTACCTGCAGGAGTTGCTCTCCAGGCTGCCTGGTGGCCATGTGCGTGTGCTGTCCTTCCCTGCTGATCGCCCTCCTCCCACTCCCCCCAGCCCCTCGCAGGCTGAAACTCTGCCAGCCTGCAAGAGGAAACCCACTGTTTCTCGCATGTTTTTCCTTAAAGGAGAAAATCCAGATTTTTCTCCTTAAAATGAGAAAATCTGGGTTTTACCGCAATTTTCCATGGCAAACAGAAAACCTGGATCCCTGGCGATTGTAAACTGGTTCAAATCTGTAACACAACAGAAGTTCAGTGTACACTAACCACTTTCAAAATGGCCAAAACTGGTATAAGATAAACCTGGATGGATATAGCATCAGTCTTAGCTGATTTAGGTTAAATCAGTTTATTGAACTTCTGTCCCAGATCCCCTCCAGATTCAAGTTAACTCATAGTCCCCAGCATCTCAAGATGCTTTGCACCTCCCCTTGCAAAGCCCCCTTAGCTGGGTGGGCAGGCTAGCCTTGGCCCAAGCTGGGAGGTGCTCTAGCACCCCCTGGCTTAGGCCATTGCAGCCATGTGGTTGCATTTCTTGAACTAAATGTGAATGCCTGCTCACTTGCTTATCCGTTCAATCTATGCAGTTTAGACTAACCCGCAAAAGATTGAATAAATTCAGCATTGCGCTTTTTGACTGTCTGTACTTACCCCTAGTCTTAAAAAACCATCCTGGGCTGAAGCAAAGTCTTCACAGAGTTCAACTGAACTCACAGCAAAAGCAACAAACTGAACCAGCAGAAGTGGAATAGAGAAGCCAGTTGCGCTCTGCACATTTTCTTTCAACGACACCCCAAGGAAAATGCTTAGGATTTGTTTGCACTGGCCTGACATTCACAAGCAAAAGGCAAACTCTGGCACTGATGACTGGCCATTTGGCAAGATCTTGCAAAGCACAGATGCTCAGAATTTGCTCCTTTCTGATTCCCCTGTAAGCCTTGAATAACTGTTCAACTGCATCAAGTTTTATTGCAAAGGCATATATGCAAATCCACATATTCAGAGATGCCTCACTGGTAATATTTTCTGGTCGTCTCTTCATTCAGACCTACCTGAACTATCAGAAGAAACAAAACCTTCTGCATTAGGAAGGTTAATTATTGGAAGCAGGTGCAAGGACATTTTGGTTGGATGAACGTTCACTGTCAGATGGAAGCAAAAGGGTTGATTTCTGCCATCTTAAGTGTCCTTGGCTTTCTTCGCTTCTCTTTCAGCTTTCTCTTTTGTAACATTCAGTTCCAGGAAGAGGTTTGGATTCTCGCAAAAAAGAAAATCGCTATCACACTCAGTTTGGGCTGCAACCACTTAGGCTGCCACTGAAGACTACAAGTCGACTTCATGCATACAGGAACGTGAACAAATCCAAGAACCTCCAAACAACCAAGTATGGACAGACTCATCCCAACAGAAAGCGTCACCTGCTGCCCACCGTCATTCAACAACCAATTCCACAACATGGTCAATTTTGTCTGCAGAACATTGTTTCCTTTTTGTCTCCTGGAATTTCTTGCTAGAGTAAATGGTCACCTAGTTCACCCACCCTTAAAGCTAGCCCCAACTGCAGTCAGTAAGGTCATGGGAAGTCTGCTCATCTCCCACCAGCCAGGTTTTGTCCTGCTCTAGCACCTTGCAAACCTCCAACCCCAACAGTTCATATATTACTCTGCAACCACTCCAGGATGCCCCCCCAAAAGGCTGTTCTTCTCCCAGCATGTAGTTTTAACAGCAGGGCTGAGGTGACCTGAGCAGAGCTTGGACTGGAAAATAGATGGCACAGCTCAGATCTCATCCTGACAGCGCCCAGTGTAGCCGGAGCTGCAGTTGTGGCCACAGGGTTGGCAAACTGAATGACGTATGAGGGTATTTGGCTTGGACAGAGCCCAGGATAGCCAAACAGGAAGGAGTAGCTTCCATCCTTCCTCAGGGGAAGTGTCTGCTGCAGCAACAGCTCTCAGTAAGGAGCCATTCAACTCCAGCAAAACCCTGCTGCTCCCTGGGACAGCCGCTTCCAGTGCTTCCCTTCTGCTCCCTGCTTGTCTCTTTGGAGCCCTCAGGGACTCACCCTCTCCTTTCAAGGGATTTTTCTAATTTATCCCTTCCCTCTATTCATACCTCCAGTGTTTTTGCTTCTTTCCCTTGGGAACAAGCTGAGACCACAGCACCACCAAGAGCAGTAGAAGTCTTCTGGCAGCAAAGAGCTACTCCCCTTGGCAGGTTTGCCTGTGTTTGGAAGACGAGAGCAGTGATGCAGACTCATGCACTGGAGAACAGATAATGAATGATCTGAATGGAGCTCACAATCAGGCCTTTCTGTTCTTGATTGTGGAAAGGCTTCCTTCCCACAATCCCTCAGGGACCTTGGGGATTTTTCACCCCCTCCTGCAGCATAAGGGACAATTCACCTGCTCAAGCTGGGATCATATGGGCATCTTGGCTAAATCAAGTCCTGCTACAGGGGGCCTCATCCATTGGTAATGCCTTGGCCTCTCCTGTTCACTGCCTGTGGCACTCAAGTCTCTTGAGGACAGAGATCTGTCAGTCTCTAGCTGAAGTCTTGGGCTCTGTGTAGGGGTATCTGGTTGAAACTTTATGCTATAGGAGGATGGATAAGATAACAGAACACAATGGTCTCTTCTAGCCCTAAAACTCTACAAAGCATCGGTGTGATTCTGTTAAGTTTTACGTTTGGACGTGACACATTATCTGTGCAAGCTAGCACTGGCAATTGTGCATTTGTGCCTGTGCTTTCTGTACAGCACAGCTACATCCTCTGTTACTATCACATTTCCAGGACCTATCTTGTTGCCTCTCTCCAGGACAAGGAGGCACTTGGGAGTCCAGGGAAACAAACAAGAAAGGCTCTCCTGATGCATTTTATACATATCCTTTTACATCAGGCTTAATCTGTATTTCAGATCGGGGGGGGGTGTGTGTGTGTGTGTGTGTGTGTGTGTGTGTGTGTGTGTGTGTGTGTGTGTGTGTGTGAGAGAGAGAGAGAGAGAGAGAGAAGAGAATACCTTCCTACTGATCAGATCTTCTCGCTGACCACTGACAGGAGTCATGCCCATCACCCGTAGGGATTGAAATTAAAATTTCACTGCTTCCTTTACACCTGAGGGCTTTGCAGAACCAGCTCAGCTGGGCAGAGGAAGCTGAACAATCTTCCTTCTTGTGCATCGTCACTAGACTTGTTTGCTAAATTTCTATCCCAGACACCTATGCCTCACCAGCATTGCTTAGGTATCCATGTGGGCCTGAAAAATCTGTTCCGCATTATGATGTAGGTGGAAACTCATGATGCTAGGTATATCAACTCACTATTCAGGGCACCTTCAATTAATTTAGAAAGGAAATCCAGATTCCACCAAGACACAGGTTTTGGAATAACAACCATTTAGGTGCAATTGTACCACAGTTATCTTTGGAAGAGACCCTGGCTCAGATCTCTGTAGAAGCAGTAGAAGGTTAAAAATTACCATAAAGAACAAGGGAGGATTGGAGACAAAGCAGAGAAATGAGCATGTTACCTAAAGAGACACTCTGAGGTCCTATCTTGGTAGGACCTTGAGACCTGATCTCTCAGGAAGGCCCAAGCATGTCTTGTATGGCACCACCTGCCAAGTCTCTAGTGGCTCGGACAGTCCTCCAGTCAGACATGTGAAACAGTACAGGCTCCGTTCATGTGCTTCATCTCTGCACACGCCACAACTGCAAACTCTTTAGGCTGCACCCTGGTCATGAACCCCTCTGTTGACACCATTGCATGGAGATGGGCCTGTAATCAGCTTCACTTCAGGGAATTCCTTAGGTCCCCTGAGCAGATGCAAACCACACAAAGTTCACCTGTCCGCACACACGTGCTGTGCACACATACACACACAAGCTCTTTGGGTTTTTTTTTTTTTCTTAGCAAAAAAATAAAAATTTATTGTCCTCTAGAAAATCCATCCTGCCCTTGGAAATTGTGACACAGATCACAGCC